TACTACTACTACTACTTAGTAGGCTTTGCTGCTATGCAGTTAAATTAATGTGGTGGGCTTATTCTTTTCTGAAGTCTAGTTTTAAGAATAGTGGAAGTTACACTTTTTTTCTTCCTCCATTTCTGGCGCCCCCTGGATGTACGGCGCCCTTAGCATTTGCCTATACTGCCTATGCCACGGGCCGGCCCTGATCCTTGCTCTTACATTACTGCAAATGTAATATTTGGGGGTTTTGGACTGTTGGACAAAAAAAGTCATTCAAACGTCGCCTTGGCCCGAAGAATGTTGTGATGGGTGCTCTTCACCATTTTCTTACATTTTAATTACCAAATGTTTAATCATGCGAATCACAGGCAGATTATTTGTTAATAAAATATTTGTTAGTTGTAGGTCTATGCTTAAGTAAAATTCTAAAAGGCACTTTATTAGAGTTCTTTCATTTACTTTGGGTTGAAGTGCAGTATATGTACAAAGGGAAATATAGCTGCTTTGTACTCCACTAGCTATTTGACAGCTGTATTTACTAGGCTAGTTAATTTGCTGATAATAATTTTACATGCCCTCCGCGCCGGAGGTCACTACAATATGATCAAAGTAGTAGGGCTGCAACTATAAATATTATAGTAATATATCAATATTAAGCTTTCAGTTGCAGGACAAATCATATCATGTGTGAATTTGGCATTTTGTTCACAACTTTTACTTAAAAGGTGCGGAAAAAATGCAGTTTTATTAACAAACTGATCAACATATTTTATCAGTCATCTAATCATTTCAGCTATAAAATCTACTTTTAATTGGTTTCAGTTTGACAACAGTCAAATACTACTTTACTCATTAGTTCATCATTAATAGGTCATGCTCATCATAATGGAGTATCTTTACAGTGTTATACTGCTACATTTATTGTGTGGCAGAATTCATATAGTAAGTAAAGGATGTTAAGTAAAGGATCTAAATACTTTATCCAACATGGTCCTGTATCAAAGTAAACACTGCCACAGTTTTCCACCAAAACTACCAGGTGGTAGCAAGTGTTCAAAACCACATTTAAAGTAGGGATGGGCTTTTCAAGCTGGGGGACGAGCAGTGATAATATACTTAAAATAGATGAGTTACAGTAGATGGCATTGCCTGCACACCTGGCTAGGACAAACGCTTTGATGCTGGGAAATGCAGAGTGAGCTAAAACTGGGGGAAGGGAGTGCAATGTGTGTGTTATGGAGTGATAAATGATTGTAACAACTTTATGTGGATCAAATTTCAAGGTCTGGAATTGCTCACATAGCAATGAGCGCCTTCCCCCTGCCAAACACAGAAACTTAAATTGGAGCTATGCAGCCATTAGCAGCCTGGGCCTTTGCTGCATCAAAATAAGAACCTAGTGAGAATGTTGGCTTTCTCTCAGAGGGCAACAGTGATAGGTTTCTGCCAATCATGTAGGTTTCCCCTCTGTTCCATATTATTCTTGCTTGTGTCTGCACACACTCAGCAGAGTTGGAAGTCCTTCACAGCTCCCTGTGCTTGTACAGTTTGATAAACTACATCCACAGGCTCAGAAAGTCCTGAGCCAGATAATCCATCACAACAAACATGACACCTTAATTTGGTTTTGTCACAGTTTCTGTGTTATGTTATCATGCTCAGCCTGATGGTTTTCATATCAATGTGTGCATTACTGCAGCCTTTTGATTCTAGTCAGCCACTGGACGCATAAAAGAAGAAACTTCCAACAGAAACAATCCATCAATATATGTCACTTTACAAAGTTTTCATCAGAATACAGTTTAAAAAGTAAACTAGATTTATTAGGTACATGCCACTCAATGTGTAAGGCAAAGGTATAAAAGCATGTGTTTCAGGTATGTTTGATGATTTGATGAAAACTCTGACAGGAGCTTTATTTCTTTTTAATTACAGCCAAAGTAAAGCCTACTCCGTTAACCTGTGCCATTTCTGTCGGTCTGTCCCTCTTCTCCACAGGCATCCCTTTGCTTTGCTTCCTGGTGCTGCTGCCTCTCAACATCCCCTGGTCTCAGATCAGCGTCACATGGTTGGGCGTGGTGCACTTCCTGGCCTGCCTGTCGCCTCAGCTGGGCTCCGTGCTCTACCACCTCTTCATGAACCATGAGGGAGGGGAGCACGTCTACCACACCCTCCTGAAGCTCGACGTGTGCGGAATCTGCATGATCAACACACTGGGTAAGTGTTCTTCTTTGAAGCTCAGCGCATTTCTTCACTGTTAATCAATTTGGATTCACTGTCAGCCATCCCTCTGTTATTGCTGCTCTGTTTGCCCTATGGATTGTCAGTGATTCACCATGGAAGTGTTTAGCTTGGAGGTCTACCAGTATTGATTTGTCAGAACAAATCTTACTTCTGCATACTTGGCTAATGCAAGCAATGATCCACGCTCTGAAATGATTATTGATCTGTCCATGGGGCCTATATTCCCCTGTTACAAAAAAGACAAGTGCATTATTTTTGCATTTATTTATGTACTTGCACACTTGGAACATTGACCCATATTGTACTGATGATAATACAATAATAATTAATATTGTGATATGAGATAGGATAGGCTTTAAGACATTTATGTAAAGCAGCTGTTCCCGCTGAGTCAAACAAATGGCTCCGTCTTCTTGGCCATGATTTACACATATTTTTCCTACAGTATCATATTAACCACCCCGAGCTTAAATGTAGTGTTGTATAGAATCACATTATTGGGACCAAAGTAGAAGATGTCACAACCTATTGATGAACTCTGATTAATATTCAGAATAGGTCATCATAAAGAATATTTTCGCAGGTTGAGTCCAGCGTTGAAATTAACTGTTTTTATTATCATTTTTGTCATTACTTTTCGATTGATCGATTGGTCATTTGTCTATAAAACGCCAGAAAGTAGTAAAAAACTTTCAGCCTTCGTGAGATTTTTGTGCTGTGTTCAGTAACAGCTCAAACACCATAAATCAGTGAAAATCAATCAGCAGATTACATTTACATTTGAGAAGCTGGAATGAGAGAATGTTTGGCTTAAATATTACAAATTGATTGTCTTTTGATCAACTAATGTATTGATCAGTGTTAGCTCTACATGAGTCTAATTGCATCTGTGAAGCCTAAAGTGTTCTCTCTCTGGATTTAATGATTTTTTTTCCACCAAATTTCAGCTATTTTTGTCCTGCTGGAAAGTTTCACCAGAGCTTAGTCTCCTAAGAAGCTTTTGCATGAAAATGAGCTGCATTTAACACCCAGTCAGCCAGTGAGTGGATATTAGAAGATCTGATTGTTGCTGTTCCAGTGACCTCTGGGTGATGTGTGTCAGGCGTTGTGTTACTGCTGAGTTGGACCCTCAAGCTCTGTGCTGACTTTTAAGTGTGTGTTTTCTTGTCTCAGGGGCGCTGCCCATTGTCTACACCACCCTGCTGTGCTACCCATTCATCCAAACTGTGGCCCTATTAGTCTACATCCTGCTGTCCACCCACGCCATCTACTGTGCAGTGACGGCCCGGAGCAGCGTTCGCAGGCTGCGCTCCTTCGCCTGGCAGGCGCTGTTCCGCTTCTCCTTCTTCTTGCTCCGCTGGGTGGGCTTGGGTGGCGGCAGCCCCACCTCACTACGCCACTTCCTCATGATGGATGCGCTGGCTGTGCTGGGCGGGGTCATCAACATCATGCGCATCCCGGAGCGTTTCCGCCCGGGCCTCTTTGACTACTGGTGCAACAGCCACCAGATCATGCATGTACTAGTGGTGGGCTCCATCCTCTATCTACACTGGGGGGTGCTGGACGACCTGCTGTGGATCAGCAGCTACAACTGTCCCTCAGACTGACACCCGTCCCCCCAGCAGCCCGCAAACCCTCACCTGGGACGTAAGGTTAAGACCTCTGGGGGGAGGGGGGTTGTCTGGAGAGGGAAGGGGAATGAGATACTGAAGTGAGGTCAGAGGATATGCCGTCTGTGCATGTGTTTGCCTCATGCGCTCAGACTCAGAATGTTCATATCTTGGTCCATCTCTGTACATTTTGCCAATACAGGCAAAAGTATGTCAAGGAACCTGCACAAGCATTTTGACTCTCTCTCACCGCAAACGTGGACACACAAGTGTATATGGACACACACATATGCACAGTAAAATGGAAATATTTTAAATAGTAGATCATTGAAAGATCATTGACAGATCATTGAATACTACAAAGTAATAAGTGAAGGCTTCAGTAAAAGGCTATTGCTGAGTTTAAAGCTTTTACTTAAAGAGGTGGTATTATGACCCTTTTTGATATTTCTGTGGCATTTTATTCACCCAGAGTTGTTCAGATCTCTCTATGTCCATCTGTACAAACAGCCCAGATTCTCCTCTGTCATGTAGCAGGCTGTTTTGGAAATTATTAACATAAAATGTACAGTATTCATGAGCACCTACTCTGATTGGCTGTATGTGATGACTCATCTCAGCATCAGCAAATCAGAAAAAGGCCTAATGAATAATGGAAGCCCTCCTATGGTTGAGCTTTACCTTGCCTAATGGCTGCAGCTGGAAATGCGAGACAGTACCTAGAGCTATATGAACCAGAGTCTGATCCTGAATGGGAAGGAGAGGAACCTGCTGGTGGAGACTGGAGGCTTCAACTGGATGTTTCAGAACTGTAGTATCATGTTTAAGATTCCTGTTGTAAGAGTTATGTTTTCAGACGTAGCAGGAGGCAGCTAGCTTAGCTTTAGCACAGCTATTTTCATTTAGCTCCCTATGCTCTCAGTGTAGCACTCTACAGGAAGTGGGTTTGTCTTTGATTCCAAGTTTTAAAAAGCATAAAAATACAGCAGAGACAGTTTAGTGGTATGACAGCAGAGGAGGAGCTCCGCTATCACCCTGATCCATGTCAAAGCTCATTTTGTAGTTTTCCATCATACCACCTCTTTAACAAAGTCCCCTCAGATGTCACTGTTGCTACCTATGCAGCACATCCATATCTCAGCTCATGCACATCACATACACAACATGCACACGCCTATATTTTTCTACTACATGTACTGTACATACTGCAGGTGCTGCACTGAGCACTCATGGAATTTTCTCTTCGTCCAAATGACTGGCTTTAACTGGACTGGTTGTTCTGTTTGGTGTTTCCTTGTTTTCTGCCACTGGCTCTTCATGTGCGTGTCAGTCGTAACTGTCACATGATCAAAGGAGATGAAAATGGGTTCATTCCTGAGTGCGCTAGCATGTTTGCAGCAAGTTTATTTGCTTGAGGTTGCTTTTAGGATCGGTTGAGCAGTGTTATCGGCTTTGTTTGCACGCGAACTCAGTGCCAATGAAATACAGGTATTTTTAGTCCGAAACAAAAGTGCACACGTTTACAAGCTGCATTGTTCAGTGGCATTATTGTTTGCCTAGCTTTTATAATGGGACTTTATGTCCTATTTGTTTACTCTTGTACATTTATATGACATCCCATTGTCAGGATGACTGTCAGCACTGTTTCTTTACTGAAGATGTGGTTTTATAACTTTTTGCACATTTGTTCTGTATATTTCTGTACAGAACTGTATATGTATTTGTATATACAAAATATATAGACATAACACATGACATTAGATGACAACAGTTATGATTAATTCTGAAATAGGTACATTCAATTTTGATGTACACATGGCAACAGAATAGAATGAAAGTTAAGTGGTTGCCATTTAACATTTGCTAACTTTTACAGTTATTTAAATGTAATTGTAAGTTCTCGAAATATGTACATGATTTGACATTAACTCTAATCAGGCAAACTCCAGATAAAAACAAAAATCTGTGGCACATTATGCACAAAATACTGTAATGAGATACATTTATTTTTTATTTATTCAGGTGTATTTATTTGCTGATACAGGTGAAATTGACTTTCAGCTGCCGCAGCATTGCCGCTGTGCAGACTCGGTGGATGATGGATCAAATTAGAGGTCAGAGAAAATCTTGTGTTGTATTCAAACCATGAAAATCCTGAGGATTAGGTTCTCATTTCCCCCCCCACCACTTTTTTTCAGCAATTTTCAAATCCTCAGTCACAGAGTAAAAAGACTTGACCCTGTTTGTATCACAGTAATCCATAAAAAAACAAACAAAAAAAAACAACGTGATTTCTGATGTTACATCAGTTTTCCTCAGGACACTGTATTAGAATATTTACTGATACATTGATAGGGATTGATCGTTAACTTTTTCCTTTACCTGTTTTGACCTGAACAGAGTTTAGTCAGGGAGTGTTTTATTAAGCAGGAATTTTTTTTTCCTGTCATGTTTAAGTTAACATCACTTTTGTGGAAATGCTGCGAATGTTTGTTTTGGCTCCATATTCTGGTGTTGGTATTTCATTTACTACTCTTGTGTAAAGGGAATTGTTTCTTCACCACATACTCAAGACTAGTGACTGAGGTCTGATTTCCTTTCTACAGGCAGACATTTGCATTGCATTTGTGTTGTATGCCAAGTGTCACAGCCGTCCACTAACTAGTTGCCAATCCCACACTGTATCTTGCCAAATTAGCAGCATCTGAGGTGTAGCACATTTTCCGCTTCCTGTGCTAGCACTGACTCATAGGTAAAGAAGGATTTCCCAGTCTTCAGACTGCACCCTACCCTTTGCCTTGATAAAGAGTCAGATACTGTACGTCTGCCAGCCTTACGCTGACACGCCGATTATTATTTATTATGAGCGTGGTACAATGTAAAAGGTGAAACTATTGTATTTTTGGTTATAGAGTGAACCTGAAAAAATGCATGAAAATAGTTGTGAAACAGAATCTGATGTGTCATAGTGTTAGCTAATTGTTTGTTTGTTGTAGCCATCCACAGGCCTCTGACTCACTCCTGGAGATGACTGTGCGGGTAGTGGGGGGCTTGGGGGCGGTCGCCACAATAGGAAGATGATTGAACTGATCAGATCAGAGGCAATACATCACTATCAACTATACTGCACTGTTCATTGTTCTGAAAAAGGGCTTTGAATCAAAGAAGATTACATTTCTGAAACATATTTGAAGTCCATATAAATAATGTAAATACATGTATGTAGATTATATACAGTACACACACAGTGCAGACAACATACCTTGAATCATTTTTGATGGGACTAATGGTTTGCCATATAGAAGCTGTTGCTCTCTTTTGCAGAGGGCAGCAGTCACAGCTCTGTGAGGTGCTTCAGATTAGTATCAAAGGCTGCATCTCAAGTTTCTTATGTGATTGTTCCTCATTCCTCGATCCCCGCTTGAATAGAGCATGGATCGGGCTGCATATTTCTGTCTAAACCTCACCCATGCCCCCCGAGAGTGTGGCGTCGAAACCCTACCCGGACCCGACAGGGCTATTGCATATGATGTCCGAACTGGACCCGAGCCTGACGCAGTTGAGTTTGTACTGCATTTTCCCCCTATATATTTAAACAAAGCAGACATATGAGTCATCTAGCCTAAAGTTTGACCTACATGTCCAAACCCAACCTGGACCCGAACATAATTTCTAATTTTCTGTCCAAACCCGGCCAGAGCCCTTGGGTACTGACGGGTCCCATCTGGCTTGGTTCGGGTATCCACACTCTAGCTTGAACTGCAAGTCATTTTGGTCGAGTGAGGATCAGGGACATCCCAAGCTCCGAAGAGCGAGAAGACTGCCTGGAGAAGCCATGAGTGAGGATACATGAAAGCATCCTTCACTGAAGTCTTGGATGGTCTGTCATGCCCCTTTATTGGAAATCAGTTGGTGATTTGATTCTTCAAATGAAGGATCAAAGGAAAGGGCATCGTATGTCTCTAAAAATGTGTTTCCTCTATTCTTTTCTCTTCGTATTTTTTCCTTGTATCTTTTCCTCGCATTTTAGATGAGCAGGTCTAAGACCCAAGGGGAAGCTGCTAGTGAAGGAAACATTGGTGCACATAATAAACTTGGGATGCACCTAAATACGTGTTTGCTTAGTGGTGTCCATATGTATGTGAACAACAGAACAAAAAATAACTGAAATTGGTTTAAGTTCTAATGTAGAGTTTGGCTTTTTGCGACCCTAAGAATGCTTTTGATCTTTTAACCACTTTTTTTTAGACATTTGAGGAAAAACATTTGTGACCATCATGGGGAATCATGGCAGGCATGTGAATACCTCGTGACTACCACTGGTCTATCTATGCATTATCAGCCGAAGGATACGTTAAAAGTGACGTTGATTTGTGTTTGTTAAAACGGCTCTCTGACCCGTTGTAACAGAGGGCTTTGTTCCAACATCCTGGGCCTCCCACTTCTCAGGGTGCCATAACAGTAGCTCTAACATCTGAGGCCTGACTTCTGCTGTTGAAACATGGCTGTGAAACATCAGTCTACCTCCACCTGCTCTCTTTGTCCAGTCTGTTTACACTATGAAAGCAGTAAGAAGGGAAAGCGAAGGTGGAGAGTGAATGTTTCTCTGAAAACCATGTAATAGTAGTGGAACCTGGCCAGAAAGTTGGTCTCTGTCCTTTTGTCTGTATGTTAATTAAAAAAATACATGATGTGGGAGAACACCAGTAACAATTTTTTTTAATAACACAGGTGCCGGATAGCCTGTTAATGACCTGTTTATAATGGATTACCTGTATTGTTATATACTGATTATTATGATTACTGTTATTCTCTGGATCCTAACAGTGACTCTGTTCTGTGTGTACAGATAAAGAAACTTGCTCTTTCCTTTTGGATGATGGGACCTACCTTGGGGGGTCTGTCTGTTATCTTATCATATCTGCAATATTGTGGCATTTTAAAAAATAATAATGGAGTGAGTGTGGCTCCATCTAGTGGAGGTTCACACACACACTTACAAGGCATTACTGTAGCCACACTGCAGCCATATGAACCTAAATGACAGCTTGTTATCCTGTCAGTGCTGGTGTGCAGTTATCCTCCAGGGTTGTTCATTTATATTTCCAGGCCATGTTTGTATATACACATGTGTGTATGAGCTCTTCTGCAGAACCCATACAAGCATGAAATCTGTATGTTGTCCAGTTTGCTTTCTCACGTTGCACTGATGGGGGGTTAATTGCATCCCTGGAGTGCGCATTTTCCCTGTTTGTGTGCTCGCAAATTAACGTGCACAGACACAGACAGACAGTTTGTTCTTGTGCTGTGCTTTACACATCTGTCCAACATTAGCGTCCTATGTAACAGACAGGCTCTCACACTCCTCAGTCCCCAGCAATGATTGTGAAATAAACAAAAGTCTATATTTTTAACATTGCTTATAGGACATCTCTTTTATTCATGTTTCTTTTATTGAGATGTGTGTGTGAATGTGTGAGTACACCTTTTAGGTGGATTTTCCCAAACAACCATTTCTTTTTTCTGCTTGGCAAGCAGTGGCTGATGCACAACTGTAATAGACAAACCCAAAGGATCCATCCATCTATCCATTTTCCTCCGCTTATCCGGGACCAGGTCACGGGGGCAGCAGTCTAAGCAAAGATGCCCAGACTTCCCTCTCTCCAGACACTTCCTCCAGCTCCTCTGG